ATTTCGTGCGTTATCATTTTTAAATATTTGTTTTTGATATATTTTTATCGAAGCAAAAACATGACAGGCCAACTGGCATGACGTGGTGACAATTGCATTTTGTGAAATGGACGAAGGTGCATGGGTTCGAATCTCATCCCCCACCCCTTTCTTTTAGGCCTTGTTTCCTCTTTGTTTTTCTTTTTCATATTTTATTTTATTTTATTTTTATTTCTCAGAATACCAATTTTTTTTATTAATTTAATTTCACTTATTTATTTTATTTATATTAATTCATTAAATAATATTATTTAGTTTTAGTTATTTTTTTTGTTTTATTTAAAACCTTCAAAATCATAACATTTTATTCTTCTTATTTTTATTTTTCCATTTTAATATCTAAAAACATTGTTTTTTAATTTATATTTTAAATTTCATGATCACATATTTTTCCTTGTATTTTATTAAAATATTTTTTATTTTTTATTAAGATGTGATGTTCATACTTTGTTTAGGGTTTTTTTGATCTTTTATTCATGCCTTTGATATTTGCTCATATAAATGTTGTCTTGTATGATCATATTGTGGTAATAATAAAGTGTTGGTCTTCAATATCATCTTAATTTTATTTTGAATACTTTGAATGGTTGATATTTGTCTTACTTGTTTTAAAGTTTGTCCATGTGTTTAAAACTTGTTTAAATTGTCTCCTTTACCTAAAAATCCATGATGAAACCATGACTTGATCTCTTGCCCTTGTGTTGATATTTTGCTGTATACATGTTGTAAATAATTATGATGTATACATGTTGTACATAATTATGATGTATCATGTTTACCCAAGATAACTCATGTTAATACTTGTTCTTGTAAGTCATGTTCTATGTGTGTTTTTCTTCATATCTTGGTGAACATCTTGTTGAAACTTGTCTAATGATTTAAGTATCCATGTTTATTCATATTGAAAATGTTAACTTGTATTCAAACATGCTTTTGTCAAATGTAAACCGTTAGACGCCAAATTTCACTTATTTGATCTATCAAATATTGGCATCTTTCACTCATTTTCGTCAATTAAGTGTTGAAAATCACTCTTGTTTTGGTTGGTTTGCAACATTACGAGAAAATCTCTTGGTATCTTTGATTTGTGTGTTATTGTGCAGGAATTAGGCACAAAACAAGTGAAGAGTAAGACACAAGAAATGGGCAAGGAAACCAAGACAACATGCAAACCACCAAAATGCTGTTACGCTCGCTAGGCGAGCAGGTAGCAAATGTGCCAGCGAAGGCTTCCCTAGCTTGCTCGCTAGGTGAGCAGGCCAGCGAACGCGCCTAGAATTGGACAGTGCCAAAAGTACCAAAAGTTCGCTAGGTTCGCTAGTTGTTCGCTAGGCGAACATGACAGATCCTGAATGTGTATTTAAGTGATTTTCTTGCTTTTTTAGGTCATAATTTTATTTTGTAACATTAGATACATCAGAACTTATCTCTCTTCATTTCTTCTAGAGAGAGAAACACAAAACCCTAAGAGGGAGGAGGTAAGATCTTCGATCTCTTGTTGGGGTTTGGATTGTAATCTTTTGATACCTTATGTATGTCATCTAATTTATGTTTGTGAACTAGTTTGGATTCTCTATTGAATGTTTATCTTTGATTGCTTATTTGTGGGGCTTGACAAAACCTTTTCACATCTTTGATCTCAGATTTTCTTTTATCAATGAACAAACTTTTGACATGGTTTTGAAGTTGATATTCATTGTATCTTCTATGGTGTTGTGTTGATTAAGTAGCATGGGTAGCATGGGTAGGATCAACATGATATTGTGTGGGTATGTGATAATAGTGATGAAGAATGATGTTCACAACCATTTGACGGATTAGATGAATACATGTAAAAAGGGTTAAGTGTGTGTACGTATTCTGATCATTGTGTTTTATATGAAACAATCGTTTATCCGATATGGGTGTCGTCTTTGCTTACTTGTTTATCTTTGATTTGAACCGTGATAGAGATATACTCTTCAGATATGGATTTAGGATGATTACCTGTTAGGTCCTAAATGCTAGAGATAGTTTTAGGCTTAGCATTTGCGTGAGTATCAGTTCTTAATGCTCTGTGTTGTGTTTTTGTTGGATGAGAGATCACCAATGAGACAACATGGTTGTTCTCTCGACGCTGCATTAGAGATAAGCTTTGTCGAGAGTGATACGCAAGGGTATTAGGTGGATGATTGTGTTGTGTTTAATTTGATCAGAAGAATGCATATGTTATCAATTGATAAAATCCAATCCCAACAAGGCTCCGTTTATATTTCAGTCTTTATTTTATATTTTCTGTTTTTATTTATGGTTCCCTGAACCTTTTAAACCAAAACTTTTGAACAATAAGCTTAGAAATGTAGAGGTCGTTGAACGACGTTCATATCGCACTAATCCTTGTGGAAACGACAAAACTGAGTACTTAATATTTTTTGCTTGCTGCTTTACCGTATCAACAGTAAACCTTGTACATGTTTGTTGAATCATTTTAGTTCTTACTTGTACCATGTCTCTCATGTTTAACTCCTTTGTTGAATATTTGGTTGCACTTGTATATTCATGTTGCTTAAATTCAAGTAAGAGACTTATTGTTGACACCATTGTCATTCTTACATATGCATATTTACATCTTCTTATACATATTTTACATGTTGTAATCCTTAACTTGCTATCCCTTAAAAAGTTTCCCTTTAGGATGAATCAACTTAGACAACTCAATTAGGATTTTTTCTCTTTCAAACTCAAAACGACTTTCAATTAAAACCTTGGCTTTAGGCTATTGACTTCTTCAAACCCTTTCTTAACAAATGCTTCAAGACATCTTAAGCATATTCAAAACTCTGTCACAAACACTAAAACACACAGACTTCAATTCAAACCTTTTGCCACTTTACCTTTTCAATTTAAAACCCTTTTAAAATAGATTAGATATTAGTCATCCTTAGTTAAGATATAAATCTCCTACCCCACGACATTGTTAAGAAAGTTGTTGATTCTTTTCCACTTGAGAGAGGTATGTGACATACTTGTTGATTCTATATTCAAGTTGGAGTTATTCTCTCAATGTGAAACAAAGATCCCTCTCCACATGTTTGTGGTGGTTTATATGAGTATTCTCCTTAATATGACAACTTGTCTCTTCTTTATTAAAATCCACCATAACAAACTCCTTTTTAATTTATACCCCAAACTACAAAGTTTTTATCCTTTATTCGTACGTAGGCACAATACTGTGTGTCTTGCCAAACACAAAAACAAGAAAAAAAAATTTCTCATCTCATCTATCAATCCCAAATATCCAACAATTTTAACATAACACAAAAACAACGAGAGGTTCCTATAGGATACTATAGATACTTAAGTTGCTAATACCTTCTCTTAGAGCATCTTTAGTGGGAGTAAACTAAATGGGTAAACTAAGATACTTTTTGTGGGTCCAAAGTGATTTGTAGGATTTAAAAAATTTATAGTTGATTTGAGTAGTTTTTACTTTAATGGTGGTTGTCTATAAGAAACCAAAACTTGACCCCACATGGTATTAAATGGTTAATAAAAATCTATTATTTATTTTAAATAATTAATAAAAATGTATTATTTTTGTTAAATGATGAGTTAGAGTACGTTGCTTGTGTAGAGCACGTAAACTAGTTTTAGAGCATCCCATATGCCATGTCAGCACTACTATAATGCAAATTCCTTATTACTAACGTAAGCTATAAAGAATTTTGGTTTAACAACCCTGCATTAAAGTTGCTCTTAGTATAACCAATCCCCGAATCTTATATCTCTTTATTGCTTTGTTTTGCATTGCATATTTATTGGTTATTCTTTCTTTACCCCTTCCCTTAGATAAATTAAAGATTAGTGGTGATATCTTAAGATTTGTGAAACCTAGCTAATATAATAACTATGATCTCCGATCCTCATCGTGACACATTAGATCCAAAGAAATTTTTGTATTTCTGATACACATGTGATCTTAAGTATTTGAGATTGAATTTCTTTTTCATATTCTTTTTTATTTAGAGTCAATCAATAAAACTTTTGTACAATAAAATTTTAGAAATGAATATCCTATGAAATACGAAAACTCCAAATACAACTCCAACACTAATAGAGCAACATCAATAATAATTTTAAAAAATAAATAAATTATATATAATTACAAGTGTTAATACAGATGACTGATACCAACACATACACGTTTTTTTTCCAGAGATATCAGTGCTACTCCCTTCGTCCTATAATGAGTGGTCCATTTAGAATAAAAGGAGTGTTCTAAAATGAATGATTCATTTAAAGTTCTAATGCATTTTTTTTCTTCTATTTTACCCTCTAGTTAATATTACTTTCACCATTTTCGATACGTGATAACGTATTTTAGTAAAAATATCATTATCTCATTTATTTATTTCATTTTCTTAATTTGTATGAAATGATCAATCAAATCACTTATTGTAGGACGGAAGGAGTATATAATCAACAACTGAAAGTTAAAAAGTAAATTTTATTTTATAAATAGGACCGGAGAGGGAGGGAGGACTGATTAACAATTTCAATAACATGATGAGACCTACAAAGAGACCCAGGCCATGATTTGTATCATGCAGAGTTATAACAATTCTGCCAAACTCACCCCTAATGTTTGTCTACATATACCCTGCACATTCAAACTTGATAACTGTTTCCAAAGTGTTAAGAAACAGCACAATAAGAATGACAACAAAAATCAAAATATATCTATGTCTTTTGATCTGAAAACCAAAACAGACTAAAGTACAAACAAACATGATGTCTACTAGGATAAACTTAGAAAAGCTAATCAAATATCTACTTCAAGGAATGTGCTTATTCAACATCTTGCTTTATATGCTTATTCAATATCCTGCTTCCTTGTTAAAAGCACAGCTGAAGACAAAGCTCCTATAGATAAAGAAGTATTCCACTTTGTTTTAAATTAGCTTCCCGTCGATTATGTCCATCTAACTCAAAATGGGAGGAACCACTCTAAGCATCATACTCTGAACAAAAGATATCATCTGCAAACAAAACTTGATCATATGAATTTGCCATTCGAAAAATTAAACAGAGAGAGCGTGGAGAACTTCGATTCAAGTGAGTTCTTACCGAAGCAATTCCAATACACATTATACTGAAGCCAGGAAAATCAAAAGGTGCCTTTTCAGATAGAAAGAGAGCTGAAAGTGAGAATAAGTGTTTGTTAATAACTTTTGGTGATGATATGAGCCTTAATGGAACATAATAATGACTTTACACTCACCTGTTAATGGAGAGAAAGCCAAGGGAGAAACAATATGTGCAATTGAACATATGCCTGAGATGCAACCTTGAGCCCTTCCCTGAAACAAGATAAGTGAGACAAAATTGAACTGAATAGATTCTAACCAGTCTAACAAGAAAAAAAAGCCATTAGAGAGCATTCAATCATGCAAAACAAAGCTTTTTTCATCCATTAGAAGTTGACACAACTTTTTCTTATTTTTTATGAAGTGAGCCAAAGAAAACAAATAAGAAATTGATATAATGCTATGTATTAAGGAAAATATTATTAGTGTGAAGTACTATTAACATGATACCTGCTCATGGGGATCAACTTGTTTCGACACAATACTTCGAATCTACAGAAATGCAAAAGTAAATTACTCAAAATTATATTTTGAGCAACTAAATCATTGAAGGTCAAAGGGGAAGCTCATTTAAAATGATAATAAAAAATAAAATAAAATGAGAAAAGAAACTCACACACGGTTGCGAAAAAACAAACAATATTGAGAACATTGCAGCGGCATAGGGAACCTGTCAACATGGACACCATAGTAGTTCATACAACATAAAAAGAGAATATAGTAAAGGGATACTAGAATAACACGTAGGCAGAAGCAAGTTTTTAAATATTGGTCGCGATCGCGTAAAGGCTTTTGCGATTTCGGTCAGTACAGGTGATGCGTGAGTAATTGCAGTTGTCACGGTGTGAATTAATCACAACATTTATAAACAATATATTTTGTGATTTGCCCTTTCATATTCTAATTGTGAAAATTTTGCGTCTATAATGGAATGATAACGATGTTTTGTGGCCGGGTGTTTCGTCGACGTAACGGTGTTTTGTCACGGTCAAAATGACTTTTCATTTGTGATTTTTTGTTAGCATAAAAATAGTGAATAACGGTATCGGCGCCTTCTGATACCTTTTTGTCGCGGCCGTTTCCGTAGTAACCGACCGTTTTTGAAAACCTTAGGCAAAAGTTATCAAATAAACTATGCAAGTTTCCACCTATAATTTACTACGTGTCTGTACAATAACAGAAAAAAACTTGGAATTAGCAATAGAGTAGCAGAAGACATACCCAGGCTGACCATGCTATGCTGTAAATGAACATCTGCATTCCATTTGATATATAACTAATTTAGAATTTTATAAAAGTGTGTTTTTTTTTTTATAATTTCACAAAAGGGCAAAATGCTTACATGTACACAGTGAAAAAACAGTCCAATCGAAAGAAGCCTTGCCTCACCCAAATAAGGAGAAAAAATAGGCATAAGAAAAAGCTGTGATCATCAATGTTCAATATTAGTATTTACATCAAACTCAAAAAAACTGAAGATTAACAGGACAAAAGGAAAATGATCATGAAGTCATAGCAAAAATTACCTGTGACACAGTCCCTGCAACACCGGAAATGATCATTAAGTCAGCAAAGTGATTCTTATCAAAATGAAACTGAGCCTTCAAGTAATACTGCACACGAAGAATAAAGTGTTATTACACACCAGTTACGGAACACGACTTCGGTCCTAACACGTCTACACTGATAATAATTTGAATAACCATTTAGCAACACTAAAGCTCAAAAATTAAAATAAATTACATGATATCTAAACTATACAATAAATCTTGAACATGTTACAAAAATTAAAAAATAAGTATAGAAAGGGAAAAAATAAGAAAAATACCATCATTGAACCATGAAGTCCAACATCAGCAAGGTTACTGAAAAATGCAACAATTGCTGCTTGTGTAATAGTCTTGCTGCAAATTAAACACACATTCATAAAAATATACTAATTATTCTTCAAACATCAAATCAACAATTCTTAATATTCAAATAACATACACAATTTAGTGACAAACTAACTAAAATTAGAATTCAATAATTTCTCCCATAACTATTCCAATTTAGGGATTCATAATGCATTAGTGCAACACATACTTAGAATTGAGGAAGGAGGTTAAATCCTGCAAAGAACGCAATGCTTTCAACAACGGAACATTGGGTTTGGATTTTCCATGTGAAATGATAGGGGCATAAAGGTCATTCTGAACGATGACTGAATCCCGAAGGAAAACTTGCATGTAAACTGCTCCAAGCACCGCAACAAAAGTAGAAACCTTATAATCGAAACAGAAAAACACAATTAATAAATAATAAAAATAATCAAATTAAAATTAAACACTCACATCAACGTCGCTTTGGCCGAGTGGTTAAGGCGTGTGCCTGCTAAGTACATGGGGTTTCCCCGCGAGAGTTCGAATCTCTCAGGCGACGAAAATTTTTCTTATTTTTTGAATTTCAAAATAATTATTTATATGCACCTGAAAACTTTGAGCAGCGGATAGAAAACGAGCTGCGAGGGTCCCACATACGAATGCAGATGAACCTATTCCTGAAAGAATTCCAAACGCACTGCTTCGTCCACTTTCTGGAACATTATCTGCCTAAATTAATATAAATCAAAATTATTAATTAATTGGATACTAATATTTAATTAACGTTAATTTTGCTTAGAGAAAGAAAATGTGGTTGGATTGAACTTACAACGTAAGCTAGAGCGAGGCAAGGGATACATCCATCGCAAATCATGTTGATTATGATCTTAAAGACGTAGTAAATGTAGAAGAATGTTTTGGTTCTACTGTAAGCTAATATGCCTGTGAAATAGATAACAGTGGATTAGAAACAGTAAACCATTTGATAATGAGTATTAAGCGTGTTAAGTTTCACTGCATCGATTAATCTGATTTAAGAGTCAGTTCTGACATCGAATCCTGGATTAAAGTGTACCTATGGGAATAATCATGAGGATCATTGGAAGTTTGAGAACAGCCTTTCTTCCATATTTGTCTGAGAGACTGCCTAAGATTGGCATCATCACAAGAGTTCCCACTCCTATCATCTGCACATAAAAAAATTAATATCAAACTAGTTATATGTTGTTTTTCATTATTAATTATTTTTTGAGTTAATTATTAATTTTTAATGTCATGCAATTTATTTAAATATATTTTTGAGTTTAATATATTACTACAATTTTTTTAAAAGATTACGTTGATGTACTCTTTTGTCTCATCACTGTGAACTTCCTTTTTCCTTCTTGTTGGTTAGTAGAAGGAAGACTCTCTTGTCTATTCATTACTATGGATAATATGATAAAAGAGTTTGTTTAAAATCAAAATAAAAAATAAAACCACATACTAATAAAGACAAGAGAATCAACAAAGTCAGAAAAAACCACGAAATATCGTGGAAAAAGCAAAGCAATGAATCACACTGAAAAGTCTATACTAGTGGGCCAGTAGCAAAGTTAGTTTTAACTTTTAAGTTAAAGAAAAGAAAAATGGGAGCCAAATTATGAAAACTATAAAAACCAAAAGGAAGGTTCTTTGGTTGAGTGGGGACAAACTTCACCAAAACAGGTAAAGAGATGTATTAAATCAAACTTTCATTTTCTCCATCTATGAAAACATATTTTTAGCAACTAAATCTATAAAACAATCATGGGAAACTTTTCTTAAATTTTTCATTTTCCCCCATAATATTTATTATAAATATATATATATATGTATATTTTAATTATAATATATTTTCAAAAACTATAATATATTTTTGAGTATAATATAAATTAAAATTTTTTATTATAAATATATATGTATATTTTTATTATAAATAATATTTAACACAAAAAATTGTATAAGAATATACAATACTAATTATTATCAATATAATTTTAAAAAGACAAATCTTAATAAAATAATAGAATTCAATGTGCTATTTTTGAGAATACAACATAATATAAATATTATGATTTATAGAATTTCTAATTATGCAGAACAAAAGAAATACAATTGTCCATACATGTTAGCCTTGTGGATAGCAAATTTATTCCAATCCGAATTTTAAGGTTCAAAATTTATATTTTTATATCAAACTTGAAGAATCGGTGCATTAGACTAATTCATTTTAATAATTCTATTTTATAGTATACTATAGGATAATCATTGTCAACTAACTCTAAATGTGTATTTCACATTGTTTAATATTAAAGTAACCGATTCTCTTTCTCAAAAACTTTTTAAAACAATAGTTTTCATTCAAAATAAACATAAATATATATAGATGAAATAGTTTTCACATTGTCTAATCTTAGTCAACAAAACTTGCAAGGAACATAAAAAGCCTCATCCTTTACCATTTATATTAGTTTATCGGTAGTTATGACATAATTTTTAATTTATTAATCTAATTAATATCACATTGAATTATTTTTTAAAAGTAATATAATAAAATAATGTAGTTCATAAGTTGCCAATTTAATAATCAGAGTTTTCAAATAAAATTTAAATTTTACATGAAACACATTAAAATAGTAATAATTAGTATTACCATTAATAATAATAATCTTCATCCTCCAATTATGTGTAACAAAAAGCAGAAACATATGAAGAAACAGAAATGAATGAAAAAGATATAGTTTGAAAGATAAGAAGTACCGCTTGTTGAAAACCAGTGAGGTAGATGGCAAGTGAGCATTCATCTTGTCCGGGACAAAGCGCAGCCATTGTGACATCGGTGATCGCCGGCACCACCATGAACATCGATAAGTTATGCAGAAAGACAGTCATGAAGAGATGGCTACATCCATACAAATTCAGTTTCTCCATTATTGTTTGTACCTTGCATGGAAAGCCACCACCCTCTTTATATACAATGCAATGCAAGATTCACTTAGAAGCGCCAATATATGTGTGTTTGTGTGTGGGACCTAGATGTAGTGTACTCATGTTGTTGCTTCCCAAGTGTGCATGTAAATCTCTTACACAAGTTATTTGTTAATTCTAAATTCATACAAGAGATGAGTAGCTTCTAAGATAAGATACTAGTAATACAAATAGACAAGGTTAATTAACTAATTACCAATATTTCATTTTTAATTTCATATTTTCAACTACTGATATGATAGTGTCTAAGTGGGCCAAGGCCCAAACTCATCTCACCCCACATCTAATATTTCTATTTTCTTTTTAAATAGATTTTAAGGGTCTTTTTTATTTGGTTTTGTTAATTGTTTTTTTAATTTTTAAAATTTGAAAATAATAAAATTTGTTTGATAGTCTAATTTAATAAATAAAAAATTGAAAAAAATTATTCTCTATTTAAGAATTTTGAAAACTAAAAAAATGTTTTAGGGATTTTAATTTTGATTTCTAGTTTTGTAAATTAAGAAAACAAAAAGTAAGGAAAAGTGGTATATTTTTCATTAGTGGCAAATTTGTAATATTATGTAAGTTTAAAATAGTTTTTAAAAGTAAAATTACCAAACATAATTTCTTTTATTTTTTTCTTCAAAATTGTTTTTAAAAATTAATTTACAAAATACTTTTAAAAATTAGAAAATAAAACTCATTTAAATAAGCCTATTCGTTTATACTTTTCTTCAATATAAAATATAGAAAACAAGATAGTAGTGTATTATACTTCTAGCTTATGTATAGAAACTCGCTATTAGGATTAGCCTAATAACACAGATTTCTAAAATATATATCTAATTTTGTTCTGATGTAATTATATATTTTTGAAAGATTAACAATAAATAACATATACAAAAATTAGAAAGAAGGTAGAATGTAGCATAAATTTATTCATTTAATTGTGTGTGTTGTGTCTGGTGAGAGAGATAAATATTTGGAGGGCACAGACAATAACTTTTAAGCACACAACTTGAAGCTTTTCTCGAATTAGATGTCATTGAGGTTATCATGATATAAAATAAGATGTTTGGAACAAGAAACTATGATGTCTTAAAGGAGGTATAATAGCCATTGAAGTTCACAAGTTTTTATAGATAAAACACAATATTCTACCTCTAAATATGATATAGAGAATGTCAACTAATTCTTTCTGATCCATGAAATTAATGATTTTCCTAATCTTTTAGATTTCATTTAATTTAGCCAGACAACATTTCAAAAGCCAATAAATTGCATGGAAGACTCCCTAAAAAATCCTTAAGCATGACATTGGTTTGTGTATCTAAGGGTTTTTGAAGCTCTATTGTAATGAGTTGTGGTTTGTTTGGTGAGGAATTAGATCAATTGTTGTGTTATGAAGGTGATGTTTGGTTGTGTGGTGGTGAGGGAGAACAATCGGCTAATGACTCGTCTATAAGCAGGTATGTTATTAAAAATAAGATTGACTTCAAGGTATAATTTGATAAATGAATCTACAAGAGTCATGACAAGTTTAGTATAACACCTTAATTTTTCACGCGTAATTATAAATAAAATCAGAGTAATATCAAACCAACAACAATTAGGATGCTACTCAAACACTAACTAGCTCACAAGATATGATAGTAACACATACAACTTTTAAAATTATTATTAATAATAATACTAGTAGCAAAAATCAACAAGTCTAAACTTCAGTATTTATTTAGCAGCGAAAAGACATTAATAACAATTTATTTTGATATCTCAAAACATAATCAAAATTCATAGTAATTATAAGAATAACAGACTTCAGAAATAACATAGCAATCTCCACGATAAAATAAAATAAACGTAAAAGCATTTCATTTCCTCAGTGTTACATATCAGAGCAGACGTCGGCTCAACAAAAATAATAAAAAGAGCAATCTCTTCCACTCACATCCAAGCCCTTACTGCGGATTATCTGCACGATGCCCATGTAAAGGCATCATTCAAACAGACGAGGTGATAAATCACAATCATGTAAAAGAATGCATAATAATATGTTAGCACCCCATCAACATATGCATAATCACACAATTCACAGTTCAAACTCCACACAATCCACACATAATAATGCAACATGTATGCAAATACAAAAAGACTCAACTCATGACTCAATGCATGTGGTACCAATAACAAACTCTCAGATTCACTCGATTTGATCCCCACCATAGGATCAGAGCCCATCAAAAATCATCACCATCATCATAGGCAACACTTCACTAATTCCATAACCATAGAAATTAGCTACTCGCACTCGGTCTATCACAATGGGGTTGAGGCTCACCAAGAATATCGTTATCATCATCATCATAGATAACGCTTTACTAATTCCATCACCATTGGAATTAGGTACTTGCACCCAATTCCCACCATAAGATTGAAGCTCACTAAAAAACGGACCACCATCCAGACACCATGATGCATGATTCATACAAGACATGCAACAACAACATCAACAATGCAACGTACAACGGTATTTACCATAACCATTGTACCACGCAAATGATGGTTACCATACACCATACACATGATATAAATGTTCAGCAACAACAATATAATAGTATAGCAAGCAAACATCATATTCATACATGTTCCACAATACGACACGCAATCCACACATTATCCAACCCCATTACGCAACATTCAAATCAAGTCTAGGTACTAAAACTATTTTTGAAAGAAATTTCACTGCTTTAGCTTTCCAATGCTTCGAATGATACCTCAATCAGACACCCGGAACTCAAGTTATGAATTTTCAAAATTTTCTAAATTTTTCCTCCCGGTGTAACCGGTTACACCAAAACTGGTAACCAGTTACTCCCTCCAAAAATTCAGTTTTCATGTTTATAAGTTGTCTCAGGTGTAACGGTTACACCAAAAGTGGAAACCGGTTATCACTGCGGTAGAAGCAATTTTCTGCTATATTTTAACATGAAAATTAGTTTCCAAAGCATCCCAAAACCCCAAAAATTTCATATCAATTCATAACTCGGGTTCCGACTCTAATTCTAAACATCACACAACAAAACAAACAACTCATCATCACAACGTTTAACCAACACACAATCTAAACAGTATCAACACATAATTTCAATAGCATCAACACACAATTACATCATTATACATCAAATTGCTCACAACATAGAGAAGAGAATAACAATCCTATAGAGATTACGACACCCACCCACATGTTATCATGCAAAACCCTATACAAAAGGAAATCCCACCCTTACCTTGGTATTCATACCAAAATTTTTGAATTGGAACTTCCTTCTCTTTCCTTGATCATATTCCTCTTCTTGCCCTAACACTCTTTCTTCTTCTTTTATCTTTTTCACGTTCTGTCAATATGATCTACACTCCCCATTTTTTCTTATTTTATTATATTATTATTATTATTTCTAAATAACTATTATTCAAACTAAACAAACATTAATCCACTCAATATTTATTTAATATAACACCATAATAATAATTAAAATAAATATTAATTATTACTATTACTATTATTTTATTTATATAGTTCCAATTTAAATAATAATAATAATAACACTCTCCCACCACCCCCAAGTCTCTACACTTTTACTCACACACTCCAACCCCTTAATTTCTACTCTCTAAGGCTACTACTCTACACCAAAGGGTTCCCTTAACACACCAATCATCAATTAACAAATACATTTCACACAATATTATTTAAGAAAAATAAATAAGTAAATCAGGGCGTTACATTTAGGACCAAAGTGGCATGCATCTGATAGAAGATTTGAATAGTATTTTATTTGACATAATGAAATTTCTTGCTTGGAATGAGACACTTTGAGGCCTACGAAATATTTCAGCTGGGCCAAGTTTTTAATTTTTAAATTATGGTGTAGTGCTAATTTCATCTTTTCAAACTCATATAAGGAATATCTCGCAATGATGCTATCATCCACATAAACCAATATAAAAGTAATTGAATTGGAGTTTTATTGATGAACAAAGATTGTTTAGTATTAGCTTGAATATAGTTGTGTGTAAGAAGATTGATATAAGATTCTCATACCATTTCCTACTAGATTACTTAAGGCCATATAAAGATTTTCTAATTTTGCATACGTGGTTCTGTTTTGAAGAAGTAACGTTAGGTGGAACTATCATATATACATCTTTTTGGGTTCACCATGGAAAAAATCATTATTTACAACCAATTGATGGTTGAACTAGTTGTTTATTGAAGTGAGGGCTATGAATAATTTGACTATGGTGAGCTTTGCAAGTGGCGAGTATGTATCCAAATAATTCAAACCTTCAAATTGATTGTAGCCTTTTTCAATAATCATGATTTGATTCTTTCCACAGAACCATAAACATGGAACTTGGTTTGTATGTCCATCTACAACCAATAGGTTTATTGTAAGGTGGAAAATCCACAATTTCCCATGTACATGTTCACTCAAGTGCTAAAAGTTCAACTTGCATAGTTTGTTACCAACATTCAAACTTGTTAGATCCAACAAATTTCTTTGGTCCAATTAAATTATTAAGGGACATAACATAGTGACTATGTGAATGATTCAAGTTTGAATAAGACATGTAATGAGATAAAGGATAATTTGAAGGTGGGAAAAAGTACACAAGAAGGGGGGTTGAATTGTGTTTTCCATTTTCTTAATTTGCGTATGATCAGAGTTCCGAATCTAAACTGGTGTTCATATTTAGGTTATACTTATGAGCAGAATGTTAAGAGAAGCATATAAGTAATTGCAGAAAACACAAACATTTATACTGGTTCCTCCCTATCATACCCTAATTTTTACCCCTAAGATCCCACCTCATTTGAATTTTCATAATGCATCAAGATCACAAACTCGACTCTCCTCTAGCCCTCTCATCCTTGGGTTTGTCTTTGCATAGATCACCAA